CCCCGGACATGTCTCGGACAGTGTTTGGGTATACCTGGAGAGGGTTTCGGGGGTCAACGCCCCAGCGGCTCGGTTCATGACCAGGCCTTGTGGTGGATCAGGGACTGATCAACCAGGCTGTTACTGCTGGCTGCACGTAACCTGACGTACGAATCACATCCCGGCTGGTCAGGTGCTGACTTCAGGTGCCCGTCCAGAACCTTCTTGAAGACAGCCAGGGGTCTATTGGTAATCCCCTTCATGTATGCTGGGAGGTAGTCGAACTCTCTTGGGACCCTGACACTTACTGTGTTGTCTTCAGTGTACTCGTGGTGCCCCCAGCTTTTCAATTGGGGGGTGGGGATGTTGCACCGCCTGCCGAGTCTTCTGCTTTCGCAGTGAGTGATTTTCGTGTGCAAATTTGGTACTAATCCCTCTAGGATTTTCCAAGTGCATATTATCATGTATCTTTCTCGCCTGCATTCCAGGGAATACAAGTCATGGAATTTCAACCATTCCCAGCAATATAGGTGTTTTATCGTACTTATGTGTGCCATGAAGGTTCTCTTTACATTCTCCAGGTCAGCATTTTCACCTGTTTTATGAATTATAATTATTATGTGAGCAAATTGCCTGCATGAGGTTTACAGAGTATTACTCGAATTATTACAAGCAAGTAATTTGGGTGAGGTAAATGGGACTTAGTCACAGCAGGTCGCCAAACTGTCACTCCCTCGACACCCACTCCCTACTTCTATCATAAAAAGCTAGACCTGACATTAAATTAATAATTACAGTATTAAAACCAACTACTCTGGTAAATTAAAGTTGTGGACTACATGATTAGGCTTGCTGGGTACACAAAAGAAATTCGTATTACCACTTACTATTTAAATACTGTAGATGCATCACTTCACCATCTGCCTGACACCTAAACCCTACAATCGCTAGTTAGAGATCTAAATGAAAGGACTAATGGCACACTTCCCTGTGAGTGATGGTCATATCCCTTATCTTCCACCATCCTCACGTAATTCTTGAGGTCCCACAAAGTTCCTGTCCCAATTCTTCAGCAGGAAACAACGCAGGTTTCTATTACAAATTCAGGCTGAAAACCCCAAATTTGGCCACAAAGATGCTGGATTATTAGATGAATTTTCCGCAGCAACCAGTGCCCACAAATTACAAATGGTGTCTCCTATTTTTCTGTCCTTATTGCCGAATTGTAAAGGTTTTCCACACTATCCCATTTTTCTGCAGGAATGTGTCGGCAATTTCTAAATTACAAATTGAAGCTGATGTACACCAACTGGTCTTTGAGAATGCCTGATTACATTGCACAATCAGACCAGTGTTCACACATTAAATTCAATATGGCGTCCTCTGCCAGCAGTCTTCAAGCTGGCACTGGACAAGCACCTAAAGTCGGTTCCTGATCAGCCGGGCTGTGGCTCGTACGTTGGTTTGCGTTGCAGCCAGCAGTAACAGCCTGGTTGATCAGGCTCTGATCCACCAGGAGGCCTGGTCACAGACCGGGTCGCGGGGGCGTTGACCCCCGGAACTCTCTCCAGGTAAACTCCAGGTAAACTCTGCCGCATCCTCCCATGGCTGTTCTGCTATTTGGACCCTCTTGAAGGGTTCAAATAGCATCACACTTTAATACACAATTATTATATTATTCATTTATATATTCTACATTTGCCTGGAGAGAGTTCCGGGGGTCAAGGCCCCCGCGGCCAGGTCTGTGACCAGGCCTCCTGGTGGATCAGAGCCTGATCAACCAGGCTGTTACTGCTGGCTACATGCAATCCAACGTACGAGCCACAGCCTGGCTGGTCAGGTACCGACTTTAGGTGCTTGTCTAGTGCCAGCTTGAAGACTGTCAGAGGTCTATTGGTAATCCCCCTTATGTATGCTGGGAGGCAGTTGAACAGTCTCGGGCCCCTGACACTTATTGTATTGTCTCTTAACGTGCTAGTGACACCCCTACTTTTCATTGGGGGGATGTTGCATCATCTGCCAAGTCTTTTGCTTTCGTTGTGAGTGATTTTCGTGTGCAAGTTCGGTACTAGTCCCTCAGGATTTTCCAGGTTTATATACTCATGTATCTCTCCCGCCTGCATTCCAGGGAATACAGGTTCAGGAACTTCAAGTGCTCCCAGTAACTGAGGTGTTTTATCTCCGCTATGCGCGTTATGCGCGCCATGAAGGTTCTCTGTACATTTTCTAGGTCAGCAATTTCACCTGCCTTGAAAGGTGCTGTTAGTGTGCAGCAATATTCCAGCCTAGATAGAACAAGCGACCTGAAGAGTGTCATCATGGGCTTGGCATCCCTAGCTTTGAAGGTTCTCAATATCCATCCTGTCATTTTTCTAGCAGCTGCGATTGATACAATGTTATGGTCCTTGAAGGTGAGATCCTCCGACATGATCACTCCCAGGTCTTTGACGTTGGTTTTTCGCTCTATTTTGTGGCCGAACTTAAAAATTTCCACAACCTGCCATGAAACGTGCCATTAGTGTGCAGCAATATTCCAACCTAGAGAGAACAAGTAATTTGAAGAGAATCATCATTGGCTTGGCATCCTTAGTTCTGAAGATTCTCGTTATTCATCCTATTATTTTTTTCTAGCAGATGTGGTAGATGCATTGCATCTTTGAAGTAAGATCCTCTGACATTATTACTCCCAGGTCCTTCACGTTAGTTTTTCGCTCTATTGTGTGGTTGGAATTTGTTTTATACTCCGATATAGTTTTAATTTCCTCAAGTTTCCCATATCGAAGTAACTGAAATTTCTCTTCATTGAACTTCATATTGTTTTGAGTGGCCCATTTAAATATTTGATTGATGTCCATTCGGAGTCTTGTAGTGCCCTCGATGGAGGACACTGTCATGCAAACACGGCTGGTTCAATTCAATTCAATTCAGAGTTTATTCTCTATAAGGATTACAATGTTGAATTTACAGAATTTGGTTATTGTGTGGTTTACATGTAGTTAAATAATGATTACAGAGTGTACCACTAGAACGCCTAACGTGGCTAGGCATTTCGGGCAGACTTAGTTTAATTCTTTATTTTAAAATATTACAAATTATGAGGTAAGTTGGTATTATGGCTAAGTGACTAAATACTAGTTTGTGAGTTTAGCAATGTGAATGCTTTTGTTTTGGCACAGTACATAGTTTCAGTATTGGAGTATCATAGGATTCATTATTTTAAGATTGAGATTAATATTTCTGTTTATGGTCAAATGGGCGAGTGAGTGTAAGTGTGAACCACCAGGTGGTATTCGTGTAGTTAGTTGATGGGGTGTATCAGGGAGATAAGATGTTTTCTAATGGTAGTTTTGAAGGTGATGAATGTGTCTGCAGTTCTAGAGTTCTCCGGTAGGGTGTTCCAGATTTTAGGGCCTTTGACATACATTGAATTTTTGTAAAGGTTTAGTCGGACACGGGGAATGTCGTAGAGATGTTTGTGTCTGGTGTTATGCCTGTGGGTTCTGTCACAACTATCAAGAAAGCGTTTTAGGTCAAGGTTGATATTGGAGTTTAAGGTCCTGTAGATGTAGATTGCACAGTAGTAAGTGTGGATGTACTGAACACGGAGTAAGTTTAGAGCTATGAAGAGTGGGGGGGAGTGTTGCCAGGGGTGGGATTTAGTGATTATTCTTACTGCAGCTTTTTGTTGGGTTATTATTGGCTTTAGGTGTGTTGCTGAGGTTGATCCCCAAGCACAAATAGCATAGGTGAGGTATAGATAAATAAGTGAGTGGTATAGTGTGAGAAGGGCATTTTGCGGCACGTAGTATCGTATCTTGGAGAGGATCCCAACCGTTTTGGATACTTTTTTGGTTATGTGTTGGATATGGGTGCTGAAATTCAGGTTGTTGTCAAGGTATAGGCCTAGGAATTTGCCCTCATTATGTCTGGTTGGTTGGATGGCTGGCTGGCGGGTTGGTTGTATGGCTGGCTGGCGGGTTGGTTGTATGGCTGGCGGGTTGGTTGGTTGTCTTACTGGCTGGTTGAGTGGCTGGCTGGTTACCTCCTTGAGTTTTTTTTTTTAGTTTAATATTTTTATTATGCACCTCATACCCATCTTGTGGGCAGTAGTCAAAGGATTACAGAGGTACATAATGGTACAGGAACTGGGTCCCAAAGTTTTGATAGCTGAACAAGGTACAAAGAAAATGAACTCCAGGTAGATCTGGTCACAATCATGACCAAGTTGAGGCCGGTCTCCAATTCGTTGTTCCAGGGATTAATTTTTTCTCTAAGGAAGAATATCTCACTTATAACTGCCTCTGATTCCGTCTTTGTCTGAAAGTTCAGCTGCTTAAAGCTCACAAAAGCCATCCGTAACAAGTAGTAACCAAGCACAGATTATTATTATAATAATAAATAAGCGCTAAGCCGCAAGTACCCAAGCACAGAAAGCTGAGCAGGTCCTTACTGTACTGTACATACCTTTATGAAGTAATTGTATAACAAAATTCTTATTAGTAATTAGATACCCTTTTTTAAGATTTTATTCCTTACTATATTGTGTACAACAACTAAATGAAGTAATTGTAATATATGAAATGACTGATATTTCTTTCTAGTGAAGTAACAAAGCCCATTTGGGTCAGACAAAGACCCAGTGTGACCTCTGTAATCCTGTTTTTTTTTTGCACTACCTCATACAAGATGACTTTAGTGTGCACAATAAACTAACCAGGTTAGATAAGGTTCGTCAGGAAACAGGACAAGTGTTTCCTGACGCGGGTCTTAGATGATAACCCGCCGTTTGAGCTTTTGGTCATCTGACCGAGGCATTCCGCTGGCTTACCGGTCCACCCCTTTAAAAATTATGGTTATAGTTATAACCAATACTATTATGCGTATTTTTTTTATATAAACTAACCACTCAGGAGGCACAGCTAAGAACTCTTTACTGAACACAGGTCAACTGTTGATGATCAAGACACATGTAACAGTTGGGTATCTTGATCGTCGAAACGTTTCGCCTACATCCCCCCAATGAAAAGCAGGGGTGTCACTAGCACGTTAGGAGACCATACAATAAGTGTCAGGGGCCCGAGACTGTTCAACTGCCTCCCAGCATACATAAGGGGGATTACCAACAGACCCCTGGCAGTCTTCAAGCTGGCACTGGACAAGCACCTAAAGTCGGTTCCTGACCAGCCGGGCTGTGGCTCGTACGTTGGTTTGCGTGCAGCCAGCAGCAACAGCCTGGTTGATCAGGCTCTGATCCACCAGGAGGCCTGGTCACAGACCGGGCCGCGGGGGCGTTGACCCCCGGAACTCTCTCCAGGTAAACTCCAGGTACACAGTAGGCTTCTTCAGTCAAATACAGAGGCAGCAGTTGTAGTAGTGAAATGAAGATGATGTCATCAGTCCATCAACCTTGGAGAAATAATATTTGAGGTGGTCAGTCCCTCAACCTGATGACCTGACCACCAGTCACTTCCTCTCCTTAGATGGAACCTGAACAACTTTATTACCTCCAGGAGCTACATGACCTCTAAGGTTAGTTATCAGTCCCTCCTGAGCGGCCAGTTTATTGTCCATGCCATGCTCATCCGGGTTTAGTGATCCTCTTTGATTAATATCAAGATATGAGAGGTTAAAGGTCTGGTTGAGACGGTCCAGACAAGACGGGAACACTTGTCAGTTCTTCAACCCAACAATAACATCTGCAGTTGTTGCTGTTGTTCTCTGATGTTCAGTCCTCCTGTGGTGGTTCCTGCCAGACTCTTCTTTTTTTATTATAATAATAATCCTGCCAGACTTTCTCCTCTCTTCTTCAACACTACACCACAACTCCACACCACATTGATATCTATTTTCAGAAGGAATAAGGTACTGTAGTGTCGTTGTGGGTAGGATATCTATCATGCCCGATATGCCCCGGCTTGTTAGTGGTTTTCTTTGTACTTGATAATGCTTTATAAAATGTTATCACTTATTGTAACCTTTGCAAAGAAATTAAATTTGTTTTTTTGTTTTGTTTATGGTTTGTCAAGTCATGATCTCTGCTAACTGCTGTTAAGTTTATTTACGTACAGGTTAGTGCAGTATGACCCTTAAGGGTTTAAAGCTTCGTTATGATTATAATAAGATTTATATAAGTATAATTATCTTAGTATAAATTACCCAGGATAACCCAAAAAAAAAATTCAGACTAAGTGACTTATTTCCATAGGGTTCCTTGTGGTGATGCTTTGATAAAATAAATAAATATCTTTATTTATTACAAGTATATGTACAAGGTATACAGTCCTAGCCGACATCAATGACATACTGTACTATTATATAGAAAGCCCCTTGTTATGCAGAGCATTTCCGGTAAATTAGGTCAGTTTTGTCCCGGGATGCGACCCACGCCAGTCGACTAACACCCAGGTACCCATTTTACTGATGGGTTAACACCGACAACAGGTGTAAGAAAACACCCAATGTTTCCACCCTTGCTAGGAATCAAACCATGGACCCTCAGGTGCGAAGCGAGAGCTTTTCCTACCAGGCCACGTACCACCCTTAGTGGCGAAGTGCTCTTGCTCCAAGCAGTTGGAGCTACCTGGCCCTTCCTTGCGATATACCAAATTACCTCTCATTGCCAGATGCTGTAGGGCCCTTATGGGTTTTTATTTTTCTCATGCTGGATGATTTAGTAGTTGTTGGAATCTGGTGAAGTTATTGAATTCCCAGGTTACTTAATTTAGCAGTCCAGGGAGGAAGCTTGTTACTTGATAAGATACAGTGACCAGGTATCCATTCATTATTTCTTGCAAATCAGTGTTCATCATGTCTTACCCTTTATCCCTTGATGCTGTGTTATTTATGTAATTTCTGTACTTAATGCATATTTCTTGCAAATTTATTATATAACAAAGTGAGTATTTTTGTCAGTGTATTGCAGGCCCATACTAGGCACACCCTTCTCAAGCCCATCCCTTATCGCTAATTAGAATATAAGAATACAAGTTAAGTTAGATAAGGTTATATTTGCAAGAGTTCTCACCAAAAGTATTACTAAATTTAAATATGGGGGACTTCTCTTCCAGTAGGAAAATATCAGGGATGCCTCCTGATCAGTGAATGACTTGAAAGTGAGGTCACTAGTATTTGAGTTGTTGGGATTTTAAGGCAATTTACATATACATATGCCATTTGTGGTTTTTAATCCATGTTTCATGAGACTATCAACAAATCATATTGTATGGCAGCTGATGCTGATTCTATTTCAGCTGGCAATGTACAGAATACTTTCAGTCCTGCATCTCTCCTACTTAATATTCATTAATAAAGTGTTTTCTGTGGACCCAGAAAGTTTTTGCCATTCTGGTTGGCATAGCCACACAAATGAATTAGTACTCAAAGTAAAGAAATAATAGTTACAATACTTAACAACTGTATAAAACCTAATCTTGTGCTCTGGCCTTGATAATGTGTAGAGGTTACGCTCTGCCCTCAGTATCATTTGAAAATTTTTCCCATAATCTTTTGGGACACTTATCCTCCTTGTTTGCTCAGCATATTTATCAGAATGACAAACATTAGTTTCTTACTTTTTTTCCCTGTGCATTATTATTATGACTGCATTCATGGGGGAGATGGGGTGCTAAACCCATAGGGATCATACAGCACTGAGGGAATGGAAAGGGAGGATAGGTCCTATTCCTTAGGGGAATAGGTAAAATCATAAACTGTATTACATGCTTTATCTCCTGTGTCCAGGTACAAAATAAGGCACAAAGAATCAAAGTTCCCAGACAGGAAATGTGGACTTATGAAAGTTACAGGTTGTATAACCTCTTTCGGTGACCTTTTAACTAAAACTGGTTTACTGCACCAACTGTAACCTCATTTTCTCAACACTTCCTCAGTAGTCAGCCTTTTAACACCCATTTAACACCTATTGACCTAACAGGTTTACTGCTTTGTGTGATTTTTTTTTTAAACTCGAGTCATTTCCTACCATGATAGGGTGACCCCCCTCCCCTCTGACCCCCCCCCCAAAAAAAAGAAATGCATTCACTGTCATCATTCATTCAATATCTGTCTTGCCCGAAGTGTTGCAATCATAATTCAGATGACCCTCTGAACTACAACATCCTCACCCTTTCTGTAGAATGCAGGAATTGTACTTCTTACCCTGAATTCCTTCATAATGTTGCCTTGCTCCCACATTAGCAGCAAGTCATCATTAAAACTACTTGTCTCCACTCCAATCTGAGGCACTCACACAAGCCTGTAGAATGTTGAAGCCTTTAGCACTCAAAACCTATAACCCCTCCATTCTCTCAATGCAGCCCTTCTCGGATGTTGCCCTACCCCTCCTCCCACTCCAGATTTATATCCCCTCTTAATCATCCTAATCTGCTCCATCTTCTCTGAATTCAGAAACTCCCTCAACAACCCCTCCTCAACCCTTTGAATTATATTTTCTGTAGTACCATACCTTCCAGTCTCCATGCTCTAAATTCTTTGCATAATTATCCCACTTAACACATCCCTCAAGCATAACATCACTGTTTCCAGCCTCCTCCTCACTGCAGCATTTAAAACCCATGCTTCATATCCATAGAACAATGTTGGTGTCACCATACAGCCTCTCCTCACTTAACGACTGAGTTCCGTTCCTAAGACCACATCGGTAAATGAATTCGTCGCTAAGTGAGGAGCATACAATAATGGTAGTGGGCTTGTGTCAACCATCGTTGATAATATTTTAATGTCACCTTTGCACCATTTATAACATTTCTGGTATATTTTTAAATGCTTATACAGCAGTGTACTGTATATTGTAATAAACAGAATACAGGAAATCAGCTCCAATACATTATTTAGGTATGCATACTGGTCAGAGAGCCCGTCGTAAGTCCGAATAATCAGTAAATGAGTACGTCGCTAAGTGGGGAGAGGCTGTGCTCTGATACAGTCCCCTTGTTGTCTCCAAGGATGAAGTACCATTTTGTCTCCACAGGTGCCTCAGCACACCACTCACCTTCACCTCGTTTTTCATTTGACCCATCTGCTGATTAGTCTATTCCCAAATTTCTGAATACATTTACTTTCTCCATACTCCCTCCAATCCAGTATCAATTCTTTCATTAGCTACATTTTTTTTGTTATTCTCATCATCTTGCTCTTTCCTATGTTCATTTTTAATTTCCTTTTACATAACCTGGAGTTTACCTGGAGAGAGTTTCGGGGGTCAACGCCCCTGCGGCCCGGTCTGTGACCAGGCCTCCTGGTGGATCAGCCCCTGATCAGCCAGGCTGTTGCTGCTGGCTGCACACAAACCAACGTACGAGCCACAGCCCGGCTGATCAGGAACTGACTTTAGGTGATTGTCCAGTGCCAGCTTGAAGACTGCCAGGGGTCTGTTTGTAATCCCCCTTATGTATGCTGGGAGGCAGTTGAACAGTCTCGGGCCCCTGACACTTATTGTATGGTCTCTTAACGTGCTAGTGACACCCCTGCTTTTCATTGGGGGGATGGTGCATCGTCTGCCAAGTCTTTTGCTTTCGTAGTGAGTGATTTTCGTGTGCAAGTTCGGTACTAGTCCCTCTAGGATTTTCCAGGTGTATATAATCATGTATCTCTCCCTCCTGCATTCCAGGGAATACAGGTTTAGAAACCTCAAGCGCTCCCAGTAATTGAGGTGTTTTATCTCCGTTATGCGGGCCGTGAAAGTTCTCTGTACATTTTCTAGGTCGGCAAATTCACCTGCCTTGAAAGGTGCTATTAGAGTGCAGCAATATTCCAGCCTAGATAAAACAAGTGACCTGAAGAGTGTCATCATGGGCTTGGCCTCCCTAGTTTTGAAGGTTCTCATTATCCATCCTGTCATTTTTCTAGCAGATGCGATTGATACAATGTTATGGTCCTTGAAGGTGAGATCCTCCGACATAATCACTCTCAGGTCTTTGACGTTGGTGTTTCGCTCTATTTTGTGGCCAGAATTTGTTTTGTACTCTGATGAAGATTTAATTTCCTCATGTTTACCATATCTGAGTAATTGAAATTTCTCATCGTTGAACTTCATATTGTTTTCCGCAGCCCTAAACCCCTAAAATTCTTTCCATGAATACATCATAATCATTCTTAAAGCTAAAAGCACACTGCAAATATTCTCAATGACAGACCATGTCCAGAAATCACATGTATGCATTATCAAAGCTATTTTAGGAAGTTGAGCTCCAGCTTCTGGACCTTCTTAGCTCACAGAGAAATGATGGTTGAACCAATGACTAGCCAGTCCTAAAACTAGCAAGCCAAATGCACTATCCACTAGCCTGTTAGTTTTAGGACTGGCTTGCCATGGATTCAACAATTGTGTCATTGTGATTCTGCAAGTTTTCAGTTTAGCTGTTTGGGAAGATTGAACTCCAGTTCCAACTGCTCATCTGCTGGCCGTGTTTCAGAGTTATGTTAGGCAGTTTTCTCTGTTTTTTGTTTGGGATTTTATGGGTTATTTTCTGTGATAAATAACAAAACCTTAAAATTACATGTAGTAATAAATTACAGGTGTGAATAATAAATCACAGTTCAGAGCAAATATTATTTATTAAAAGTAAAACTACTACATTTCTGAAGGAAAAAAAAAGTAAAATACTGTTAAGTAAAGCTTTTAATTGCGTTGCATACTAAAGTGAGCAGGGCTTTGAAGAGTTTTTTTTTTTTTTTTAATAAGAATTAAACATTGTGAAGTACATAAATATGTCTGAATGATGATGATCAGGTAAGATTTTGGTATCTTAAAATACAGTGGACCCCCGCCTTACGATATTATTTCATTCCAGAAGTCTGTTCGGGTGCCGTTAGAGACCGAATTTGTTCCCATAAGGAATATTGTGAATTAGATTAGTCCGTTTCAGACCCCCAAAAATACACGTACAAAAGCACTTACAAAAATACACTTACATAATTGGTCGAGTTGGGAGCTGATCGTAAGGCGGGGGTCCACTGTATAATGAAAAACTTGGCTTTCCACACTGTAGGGAGAGATGGGATACTGTATACTGTTAGTTTAAATTTATTTAATTTTTCTTTTCATTCTTGCAAGAATCTCATCTAGCTTGGCTGATATCTTGATATACTGTATATTTCTAGTAGCCACACAGCCTTTAAAATCCTTGTTCACTTTTTGTCTCAATTAAGTTTATAGATAAAACGTTAAATAAGTGGAACAACAGTCTTAAAATTATAACATTTAGCTTACTGGTGTTATACTTTGCAAAGTAAATACCCTGTGAGTAATAAAAAAAAGTACTGATAAATAAGTATACACAGTATGTATTTGAAAATAAAAACAAATTTCAAAAATATTGAGAAAGTCCATTGTCATATGAATTTCTCTCAGCCTTGTTATGTGCAAAACTTTGTCAATGTTTTTAATTTTTTTCAGATGGAAACCAAAACAAAACACAAAGTGCTCTTGGCACTGGACTTTGACCATACAGTCATTGACAATAACAGCGATACTTATATTTATAAACTAGCCCCAGACCACAAGATACCCGATGACTTGAAGTTGTTATATCGCAGGGACAACTGGACGCATTACATGGGAGAAGTGTTTAAGTTTTTGTACAAGAATGGTGTTACAAAAGAAAGAATTTTTAATTGTTTAAAGGAAATAAAACTAACAGATGGCATGAAGGAGTTACTGACTGGTGTTCCTAGAGATTTAACTGAATTTATCATCATATCAGATGGTAATTCAGTGTTTATAGATCACATTCTTAAAAGCTGTGGATTGAGAGATCTATTCAGTGAGTTATTTACAAACCCTGCACAGTTTGATGACAATGGCTGCCTGCATATTCAAATGTATCATCTCCAAGACTGGTGTACCTTAAGCACCAAGAATCTTTGCAAGGGTGACATACTTTCCAATTACATCAAACTTCGTGAAAATAATAATGTGACTTTCTCAACCATTGCATACGTAGGCGATGGAACAAATGACTTCTGTCCAAGCTTGCGACTAAAAGAATGCGATGTAGTTTTTCCTCGTTGTGGATATAACCTACTAAACTACATTCCGAAAATGGAAGCTGAGAAAGGTATGAGAATTGAAGCAGATGTTTGTCCTTGGGACTCTGGGAAAGATATCCTTGAGCGCTTGTTATTATGCTACAGCGAGGTCAATGCTTCAGAGGTTCCAAAACCAAGGCTGAAGCCTCCTTTACAAAAGCTTTAACAATTAATTGATATTCATTGATCTTCAAAAATAAATATTTTTATTATTACATGTATGTTCAGTTTTACTTAATTTGTTGTTATAAATTCCTAGAATGTTTTGTCAGTAGTATGACGAGAGAGAAAACTTCATTCTCAGTATAGTAAATAACTATTTATTCTGGCTAAATGTGTTATATTCAACACTGGGCTTCTCTTTGTTCTTGGTAATAACTAATAAGATACAGAGAAAGTAAGTATTTTATCAGCATTTGTAGATTTTCTTTCCAACCGTCCCTAAGTTAGAAGTAAGTAGTGTATACCTTAAAGCCCTTTTTATAATTTTGTGCAACAAATTTAATGTACTTAAATTTTATTTTGTAGACTAAATTTAGAAAGACATTAAACATTTTACTGTACAATACATATTTTATGTGAAGTACATTATATACAAGGTTCAAAAATGCATGCTTTGTCTTTATTATAATACTGTATAATTCTCATTAGATCTTGACGTATTAAGCTGTTAAATGCAAAACTACATCTGTATACTCAGGGACCAGTAATACTGATAAACACCCACAGTTTATATAGCATTTTAGTATAAAATTACTAGACAAGAGGAGTTGGGAATCCTAAGTACCACAAATTTCCTGACTTAACATTTGTGGTAATTAATTGGATCCAAATTTACAAAATTTAGCATACTCTGTGGCAAATGGTAGAACTGGAAGCTGTTATTTTCTTTATTTCTTCTAACCTCAGTGTTGTATTTTCTCCTTAATCTATGGTAGAAAACCACCAGTAATCATAGCACTGAATTCTTTTACTGATATTGTGATTTACGTTATGGTACTTTTTTAATGCAAAACATTGCATTATTCATATTATTAAGTGGCTAATTCTTTATTTAATATAATATTATGTAGACAGTAATTATAAAGCATGATGGAAAATGGTAGGAAATTTCAGACTGTCAATAAGATCTCGTCTGTGTTGAGGAGAATAAGGTGTAGAGGACACTGTCAAAGGGAAGAGAAAAAGGAGCCAGTGTGGAATTGTATTGATATAATTAAATTTTTTTACAGCTACAGTGAGTAAATATTATGGTAAATATAAAAGAATATTATTGTATGAATATAAATATAGGTACTGTACTGTAAAACATTAATAAAATACACTCAAGATGTATCTGATGCCATATAATTAAAATTCTATGATTATTTAGAGATTTAGCACTTAATGTCAGTATGATGCCTCATAACCTTACGTAACATGATTTTTATGCTGTACGTATACTTTACAACAGGATAAGGACAACAGAAACTGGTGAGTATCATTTTTATTTTACATTTGATTTCTAATTGTTGGCTTTTAAATTATTCTCTCAGATTTTCATGGTTGCTTTGGTTAGCTTAACCATAAGTTCAGATGGCCTTTACCTTCCCCCAGTCTTCCTGAACTGATGGTGCTTGACTGTACACTATATATTATAATAATGTGTAAGGATATTATATTAGTCGGCATATTACATCTGAAAAAATAGGAGAAAAACGAGTGGTTGAAAATCAGTGGACATAGCGCATGCATCACTGTGCAGTATAGCACATTCATCACTATGTAGTACTTATAGCAAATGCATCACTATGCAGTATTGCATCTGTTTTAGTTCATTCAAATTCTGACAATAAATTTTACATTTTGAATGTTCTCAAAATGTAGAAATTTTCAGAACACATTATTTACTAAATCTCTAGCCAAATTTGTTAAGAAAAAAAAATGTTGAATTCTGAACAATTTTCTGAAGTGAGAATTCCAAAGTTTAACCCTTAAACGGTCCAAACGTATATATCATTCTCTCGCGTAGTGCCCCAACATATTTATATATATATATGTTTCCTTTATCATTCATTCAACATTGGCATGTAGGCCTGGTCACAGACATGAGAGAATGGGTGTGCACCATATAAAAAAAATTGGGGATGCTTGGGTACCACATGCTCTTTTTTCTATAAAAAGACGATTTTTTTTTTTCAAAATATTCGGGGCACTATGCGAGGGGAACTTATTTTATACTTTGGACCATCTAAGGGTTAAATATTAAAATATTGGTCATTTTTATTCTTTAACAAATCCTGTAAAAGTTTTGGAATTTCTAAAAAAATTTTTTTTTTTTTGTAATTTTGTATTAATAAAGCTGAAGTTCCAAATTTCAATTCTGAAACTCTCTCAGATTCTGAATACTGCATTAGTTAAAATGAGAAAGATGTCCAGTTTCTACGACAATACATTCAGAATTTTCTATAATCCAAACTCCGTGCATGCATTATCCGCAATATTTAAAAACATTAAAATACTGTACTATACTAGTTAACCCTTAAACTTTCCCAAAAACATAGAGCTATGTCCACATGTGTAAAGGGCTGGACGTAGATCTACATCTGATTTTACATGCTTTCTTGTGTAAAAAAAAAATAGTAGATCTATAATCAGAGTACCTGGAGTACCTTGGGAGAATTCCTGGGTCAACGCCCCTGCGGCCCGGTCTGTGACCAGGCCTCCTGGTGGATCAGAGCCTGATCAACCAAGCTGTTGCTGCTGGCTGCACGCAAACCAACGTACGAGCCACAGCCCGGCTGGTCAGGAATCGACTTTAGGTGCTTGTCTACACATGTGGATGTAGAGCTACATTTGGACAGCTTAAGGGTTAATGTGAATTTTTACTTGCAGTCAGTTACAAAAATTACAAAATGACATCAACAAAGCAACTATGAATGGAGATCAGCTTTAGCACTTTCTAATACATTAAAAAGATGTTAAATCCTGTACTGTACAAAATTGTCGAGTAAATTTTTTGTCTTATACTTTTAGCAGATATACAGTACATATGGTATCAAAAAAATTTATTACCAAGAATTTAAATGGTTAATTGAATCTGTGTACAGTGGTACCAGTGCAGTATTGTAGTGATGGGTCAGGTTTATTTGCTGAAGTATAAGAGCCATAAAAGTTTTTTATCAGAGAAACTTCAGTTACACTTCCCTTCCTTAGATCAAACCTGATTACCTTACATTTCCTAAGAGCTTTATGATCCCCTATTCATTTAGTGTCTCCCCATGAAAAACCATAATAATAATAGCTATAAAAAAATAAAATTTACCGTGAAAACATAAGCAGGTCCTGCACAATAAACTGTATATAGACGTGTTAAAAAAAAGATGTACGAAAGTGAATAAAAATAATACAAGAAAAAATATAAGTCCAGTTGAAGTAAAGGGTAATACTGTAGTCTATAAAGTAAATGTATGCAAATAATGGCTGAAAATAAATAATGACATTAAATACTGTACGTACTGTATTGTATAATATTAAAAGTTTAAAATTTGAATAACAATATGGAGTTATTTTTATAAAATAATGTGCCATTCACTGTTGTCAATGTATTTTTATGAGGGCAAAAATAATCCATTTTAATGAAAAAATATTCCAAAGTCAGGGACATATGTATATACGTAATATGCATGTAGTTTCTTTTTATAAAAACAATGCATCAATTCCTAGAAACCGTATGACTTACAGATTTTGCACTCGACTATAAATAATAATAAAGAAAAACAAGACGTGGTACAGTACTGGGGTAAATGAATGATGATCTTGGTCAATATTATTGTAAATGATAGCATTTCTAGATAACTGTTGCTTCAGCATAAAGAAGTTCCCCAGATGAGACCGTGACTCCCTTAATATGCATGGTAATAATAAACTGAGGGGTATTAAGAACTTAAGAATGATAAATAGGGAATGTAGGTGGGGCTTATATTGTCAAAGCAAGCCTCAGAGAAAGTCGATGTTTCAGCATTTCTGCTGTATGTTATTTAACATTAGTGTGTAGCTGTTAACATTATTATCTTGCACTATTCCCATGTTATTTATTTGAATTTAAATGAACCCTTTGTTGTATTTACTATCATGTTTGCTTGTACTTTAATATTTTAAATACGTATATGAGATTTATATTACTCTCCAGATGTGCACTATTTTATTATAATTGTCTGTTATAACATTTAATATATCAATACAGTATTTATCTCTCCAGATTTTATGGTATTTATACTGTGGCCACTTTGTTAAATTTCTATAAAATTCATTCATTATTGTAATGTAAAAGTTTAAGGATTAATATTACTGGTTTATTCAATATAATTTTTGTTGACAATTTTGGTAACTTAAAAAATGTTTTTCAAATTTGACTGAGTTGCTTCCCCCTTATTTTTCTACAGTTGTTTTGCAAGCAATATTTTTCATGCTTTTTATAGCCTTTTTTGCCTTATAGCAATAGATGACCTAGGGGTTTAATTTTATTTGTACACAATCCCTCAATTTGATGAACAGCATGTGCAAAATGAGTATATTAAAGAGATTTTCTAACCCGTGGTTTTTTTTTTAATTTAGTACAGTGATTATAAAATGAAGATCATGGGTATGGAAAAAATCCTCAGACTTCATAGGTGTTCAGTCCCTTAGTCTTGAGTTTTATCAAGATTTGGCATGAACACTTATCATGGCTGAGGGGGCTGATTAATCTTTCTTAGTTTTAACCTCTTACTGATTTGAAAAGGCATTTGGGGGGGGAAATTGTCTTCATGAAAGATACTAGGTCTTGCACTTGCATTTTATTTATCAGTTTTTTAATTATCAGCATGTTGGCGCATGTAAATTTTTTGCCCCGTTTTTTTTCTTTTTGTGTATGGTTTAAATCTTACTCATTTGGGTATTTTCTTTTCATTGCTATCCTTTTTCCCTTTGGGTTGAATTGATTGCTTTCCCCTTACCCTGGTACTATTCTACTTATGGGGTTAATCTGAATGTTAGTTCATAAATTATGGAGCTGCATTAACCCACAGGGATATACATTCCCCGGGAAAAGGAAGGGAATTGGGGACACTCAAAAGGGAAAATTGAGATAGGTCCAATTTCAGTTGACATGTTTCAGTACAATTTACAAATGGGAATTTTTTAACCCCCTTATAAATCATAGCACTGAATTCTTTTATGATATTGTGATTTAGGGTTATGGTACTTTTTTAATGCAAAACATTGCATTATTCATATTATTAAGTGGCTAATTCTTTATTTAATATAATATTATGTAGACAGTAATTATAAAGCATGAATGGAAAATGGTAGGAAATTTCAGACTGTCAATAAGATCTCGTCTGTGTTGAGGAGAATAAAGGTGTAGAGGACACTGTCAAAGGGAAGAGAAAAAGGAGCAGTGTGGAATTGTATTGATATAATTAAATTTTTTTACAGCTACAGTGAGTAAATATTATGGTAAATATAAAAGAATATTATTGTATGAATATAAATATAGGTACTGTACTGTAAAACATTAATAAAATACACTCAAGATGTATCTGATGCCATATAATTAAAATTCTATGATTATTTAGAGATTTAGCACTTAATGTCAGTATGAGCCTCATAACCTTACGTAACATGATTTTTATGCTGTACGTATACTTTACAACAGGATAAGGACAACAGAAACTGGTGAGTATCATTTTTATTTTACATTTGATTTCTAATTGTTGCTTTTAAATTATTCTCTCAGAATTTTCATGGTTGCTTTGGTTAGCTTAACCATAAGTTCAGATGGCCTTTACCTTCCCCAGTCTTCCTGAACTGATGGTGCTTGACTGTACACTATATATTATAATAATGTGTAAGGATATTATATTAGTCGGCATATTACATCTGAAAAAATAGGAGAAAAACGAGTGGTTGAAAATCAGTGGACATAGCGCATGCATCACTGTGCAGTATAGCACATTCATCACTATGTAGTACGTATAGCAAATGCATCACTATGCAGTATTGCATCTGTTTTAGTTCATTCAAATTCTGACAATAAATTTTACATTTTGAATGTTCTCAAAATGTAGAAATTTTCAGAACACATTATTTACTAAATCTCTAGCCAAATTTGTTAAGAAAAAAAAATGTTGAATTCTGAACAATTTTCAAAATTTAGAATTTTCTGAAGTGAGAATTCCAAAGTTTAACCCTTAAACGGTCCAAACGTATATATCATTCTCTCGCGTAGTGCCCCAACATATATATATATATATATGTTTCCTTTATCATTCATTCAACATTGGCATGATAGGCCTGAGTCACATAGACATGAGAGAATGGGTGTGCACCATATGAAAAAAATTGGGGATGCTTGGGTACCACATGCTCTTTTTTCCTATAAAAAGACGATTTTTTTTTTCTCAAAATATTCGGGGCACTATGCGAGAGAACGTATATATACATTTGGACCATCTAAGGGTTAAATATTAAAATATTGGTCATTTTTATTCTTTAACAAATCCTGTAAAAGTTTGGAATTTCTAAAAAAATTTTTTTTTTTTGTAATTTTGTATTAATAAAGCTGAAGTTCCAAATTTCAATTCTGAAACTCTCTCAGATTCTGAATACTGCATTAGTTAAAATGAGAAAGATGTCCAGTTTCTACGACAATACATTCAGAATTTTCTATAATCCAAACTCCGTGCATGCATTATTCCGCAATAATAAAATCATTAAAATACATGTACTATACTAGTTAACCCTTAAACTTCCAAACATAGAGCTATGTCCACATGTGTAAAGGGCTGGACGTAGATCTACATCTGATTTTACATGCTTTCTTGTGTAAAAAAAAAAAAAGTAGATCTATAATCAGAGTACCTGGAGTACCTTGAGAGAGTTCCTGGGTCAACGCCCCTGCGGCCCGGTCTGTGACCAGGCCTCCTGGTGGATCAGAGCCTGATCAACCAAGCTGTTGCTGCTGGCTGCACGCAAACCAACGTACGAGCCACAGCCCGGCTGGTCAGGAATCGACTTTAGGTGCTTGTCTACACATGTGGACGTAGAGCTACATTTGGACAGCTTAAGGGTTAATGTGAATTTTTACTTGCAGTCAGTTACAAAAATTACAAAATGACATCAACAAAGCAACTATGAATGGAGATCAGCTTTAGCACTTTATAATACATTAAAAAGATGTTAAATCCTGTACTGTACAAAATTGTCGAGTAAATTTTTTGTCTTATACTTTTAGCAGATATACAGTACATATGGTATCAAAAAAATTTATTACCAAGAATTTAAATGGTTAATTGAATCTGTGTACAGTGGTACCAGTGCAGTATTGTAGTGATGGGTCAGGTTTATTTGCTGAAGTATAAGAGCCATAAAAGTTTTTTATCAGAGAAACTTCAGTTACACTTCCCTTCCTTAGATCAAACCTGATTACCTTACATTTCCTAAGAGCTTTATGATCCCCTATTCATTTAGTGTCTCCCCATGAAAAACCATAATAATAATAGCTATAAAAAATAAAATTTACCGTGAAAACATAAGCAGGTCCTGCACAATAAACTGTATATAGACGTGTTAAAAAAAAAGATGTACGAAAGTGAATAAAAATAATACAAGAAAAAATATAAGTCCAGTTGAAGTAAAGGGTAATACTGTAGTCTATAAAGTAAATGTATGCAAATAATGGCTGAAAATAAATAATGACATTAAATACTGTATGTACTGTATTGTATAATATTAAAAGTTTAAAATTTGAATAACAATATGGAGTTATTTTTATAAATAATGTGCCATTCACTGTTGTCAATGTATTTTTTATGAGGGCAAAAATAATCCATTTTAATGAAAAAATATTCCAAAGTCAGGGACATATGTATATACGTAATATGCATGTAGTTTCTTTTTGTAAAAACAATGCATCAATTCCTAGAAACCGTATGACTTACAGATTTTGCACTCGACTATAAATAATAATAAAGAAAACAAGACGTGGTACAGTACTGGGGTAAATGAATGATGATCTTGGTCAATATTATTGTAAATGATAGCATTTCTAGATAACTGTTGCTTCAGCATAAAGAAGTTCCCCAGATGAGACCGTGACTCCCTCAATATGCATGGTAATAATAAACTGAGGGGTATTAAGAACTTAAGAATGATAAATAGGGAATGTAGGTGGGGCTTATATTGTCAAAGCAAGCCTCAGAGAAAGTCGATGTTTCAGCATTTCTGCTGTATGTTATTTAACATTAGTGTGTAGCTGTTAACATTATTATCTTGCACTATTCCCATGTTATTTATTTGAATTTAAATGAACCCTTTGTTGTATTTACTATCATGTTTGCTTGTACTTTAATATTTTAAATACGTATATGAGATTTATATTACTCTCCAGATGTGCACTATTTTATTATAGTTGTCTGTTATAACATTTAATATATCAATACAGTATTTATCTCTCCAGATTTTATGGTATTTATACTGTGGCCATTTTGTTAAATTTCTATAAAATTCATTCATTATTGTAATGTAAAAGTTTAAGGATTAATATTACTGGTTTATTCAATATAATTTTTGTTGACAACTTTGGTAACTTCAAAACTGTTATCAAATTATGACTGAGTTGCTTGCCCCTTATTTTCTCTACAGTTGTTCTGCAAGCAATATAGTTTTTCATGCTTTTCATAGCCTTTCTGCCTTATAGCAATAGATGACCTCAGTGGGTTTAATTTATATTTGTACACAATACCCTCAATTTGATGAACAAGACATGTGCAAGACCTGAGTATATTAATGAAGATTTGCTAACCAGTGGCTTTTTTTTCAATTTAGTACAGTGATTATAAACTGAAGATCATGGAGTATGGAATAAATCCCTCAGACTTCATAGGTGTTCAGTCCCTTAGTCTTGAGTTTTCATCAAGACTTAGGCACTGAACACTTATCATGGCTGAGGGACTGATTACATCTTCGTCTCTAGTTTATAACCTCTCTACTGATTTGAAAAGGCCACTGGGGGTAAATTGTCTTCATGAAAGATACCTAGGTCTTGCACTTGCATTTTATTTATCAGTATTATAATTATCAGACATGTTGAGCAGCATGTAATTTTGTGCCTGTTACATTTCTTCTCTTGCTGTATGGTGATCTTACTCATTTGGCATATTTTCTATTTCATTGCTATCCTTTTCCTTGGATTGAATCTGATTGCTTCCCATTACCCCTGGTACTATACTACCTCTATGGGCTTAATACTGAATGTATAGTTCATAAATTATGGAGCTGCATTAAACCCACAGGGATCATACATTCCCTGGGAAAAGGAAGGGAATTGGGGACACTCAAAGGAAAGTTGAGATAGGTCCAATTTCAGTCTGACATGTTTCAGTACAACCTTCACAAATAGAATTTGTAACCCATTCATAAATAATTAATATTAATCAAATTATTAATGTTTTTATTTAAAAGTTTACATTTTGTTATAACCAATCTTTATAAAAATTTAAATACAATATTAACAAGTTGAATAAAATGCATGTCCAACACTTCTCTAAAGCTGAAATGTCTTGCCTAGACAACAAGTTCACAAGAGACAGCAGAGTAGGAGTTTTGAGGTAATCACACTCTCAATCTTGGAAGGTGGTAACCAATCCCTCAAGTTTGAGGCAAAGGCCTTTGACCAGACCTCGTATATATGTACAAGGTCTTTCTGCAGGCCTCTGATTCAGGCTTGAGGAACTGATCACCTCAAAACCACCACACTAACTCTTATTATAATCAGAGAAAGTGCTAAACTAACTCTCTAGTATTATATTTGAATATAAAATAAATAAAGCCTACTGCAAAGACGTGCTTAATTCAAAAATTTTCAGCAATTAAAGATACAACTAGTGTCTGTATAATTGCATTTATCACAACGATCTGACATTCTGCACAATCAAGGGTTTGTACACCACTCTATGTACATGTGTACAAAATAAATATAAACTCTGTGTAAAGATGGAACTGAAAGCTTCTACAAAGCATTTACTACCCCTCAAGGGTGTCAAAATGCATAACAGGCATCACCCTCTTGAGGACTTCATGCCAATGATGTTTCTTGATCCAAGGATCCAACTCCCATTCTTTGTAATGAACCTGATGTTCTATTCTTCACAATGCAATGTGATGGACCCCTCCTATGGGATTGACAGTCTCCCTCCTGAAGGGATATTATTTTAGGGGAAAAGGCTAAACCCATAGGAGTCGTACAGCCCTTGGGATTGAGAGGCAATCAGGTTTAATCAAAGTAATGGAAGGACAGGTCAAATTCCTTTGATCAAGAGCCCCTCACCAACATCAAGGAACCTCCCTGAAAGAGAAGCTTTGAGCTCCAACATTCATTTTCAGTTATTTCAATTCCTTTAACCATAATATAATACCATTATGGTCATAAATACTGTACTCAAACATATACACGATAGGTATAATGGAGATACTTTACCTCCTGAAACATGAAGTCACTTCAATAAATTTAGCCATTCATACACCACATACAAATTATTGTTCAATCTTCCTTGTGCGCGTACATATACTTTTGACTAAGAGCACGGCTCTTCATGATCCGAGAAATAAGTGATGGGGCGAGTGTGTGCAGAATGATGGCAAGCCGGTGAGACAAGGGAGCCAACACTAGTTCCTCGTATCCATTTATCAAACTTCCAACGATGTGTTCAGCAACCTTTTCTGGGCTCATGCCAGAAGCTGTAGTTGCATCCATGGCTAAAAAAAATATATAGAATATTGCCTTAGATGTTTTAGAACTACAAAATTGTACATCCAAAGTTAATTTCCCCCCCCCCCCCCCCCCCCCCAAAAAAAAAAAAAAGTGCCAGAGCATGAGAATTTAATTTTTAGTTTTAGAAAAATATCCATGCCTTTAAAAGACAAAATTTTCAAGAGATTCTTGAAGGCAGTGCGTTTTTCCAAGCATGGGAAAATAATGGAACATACTGGCAACAATAATAAAAAAAAAAAAACCTGCAGAACAAGCTTTTATTAGGCAACTTTTTATCTTTTGTATGACTTGATAAAGATCTTAAAAGATACAAAATTCATGCAATATACACTCCTGGGAAGGAAGAGGTGATGAATGGAATTATCTTGGGTTAGCAAAGCAGAGAGAGTGTACTGGACAATGTTTAAACTATCATCTGGTTTCTGGCTGGCATGGTTAGGTTAACCCTAGCTAAAGTAAATGCACCTTTTTGTTTCATAGTGGTCTGTGTACTATACTAATTAAAGCAATTTCCATATAGCCTCCTTATTTGATGAAAAGTATGGCATCTTACAAAGCCATAAGGTTTGAATGGTTATCCTGGTGTTTATCCTGTTAACAAAAAGAGGACAACATTACTGCCAGAACATACATTATTCACTGTGGTTATAATAAGCAGTACATTAGCAAAACTGTGTAATCCAAATGCCAGAATTAAGGAACTTCAATACACTTGTAGAACCACCAACAATACCTGCATAGTTCATTGGATAAACATTCAACACCTTATGGCATGGCAAGATAATAAAATCAAAGCAAACATTGCTAGATGTGTGGAAACTGCTTTAATATACTGAACAGAACCAAGGTGCATTTAACCTAGCTAGACCATGGGCTCACATCATACTATAAAGACATTCTTGGCAAACACACTGACTAGAAACCAGTAGACAGTGCTGTCGATCCAAGATTCATCACGCTCCAATGATTTCATTCACCCCATTTCTCTTTACCCTCCAGGAAAATATATCGTATACATTTTGTATCTTCTGTTATGATTTGGAAAAGATCTTAGTAAATTAAAATGTTGTCCCATAAAAAAACTTGTTTTGCACAGTGTATCTTCTCGCACAAGTCAAGTGATACAGCAGATCTGCTACTCTTTAAACAGACTGAAAAGTGTCACTATACAATGTAAATATATCAAAATACTTTAGTCAATAAATTAAATTTTTTGAAACCTCTGACAAGTGTGCTGCCAGCAATAACTTGGCTAATAAGGAGTACTCGAGCCACTGATAACTATACTGCAAAATTTTGACTGACAAATATTTGCTGTAATAATGCCTATGAGAAGTGGCTAGATACTGTATAGATGCTGAATCCTCAGCTCTTATTTAGGTAGTAAAAGGGCACAAGAGCATATGGTATCCATGACAGAGATTAACTTATAAGCTAACAGCAGCATTCAATTAATATTTACAGTCTGAGGGCATATTAACATTTCAAGGAACAAGGGTCCCAATCATCTGGGTACTTAATGTAAAATTTGTTGTCTTATATACCTAATTTCTTTTTTTACTGCTAGTCATCTTCCACCAAGGTAGGGTGACAAGAAAAGAAGCAAACACTTTCACCATCACTCATTCTATCAACTGTCTTGCCAAAGGTGTGCAGATACTATAGTTCAGATGCCCCTTCAACTGCAAATATCCCTACCTCTCCTTCAGATACAGGCACTGTACTTTCTGCCTCCGGGACTAAAGTTCAGCTAACTGGTTTCCCTGAATCCCTTAACAAAATGTTGTCTTGCTCACATTAGCAGCTTGTTTAAGTATCAAAAACCCTTTACCTCTAGTCATTCCTATCTAACATGCTTACACACCTGTTGGATGTCCAAACCCATTGCACACATAACCTCCTTTACCCCCTCTAACCTTTCCTAGGGTAACCCCTACCCTGCTTTCCTCACTACAGATCTATACACCCAAATCATCCTATTTTTCTCCTCTAAATGTCCAAACCACCTCAACAACCCCCTCTCAGCCCTCTGGATAATACTTTTAGTAACTTCGCACCTCCTCCTAAGACTTTTTTTTTGCACAAAATAATTTAACCTAATGAAACAACATTTCAACACCACATGAAAAATTTGAATGCAAGATATGCCAATCTCGTTTTACTTACTGCCGTATAATGAGCCATCACCAGTAACAGCATTTAAAGAAAGATTTGTCGAGATATATCCTGGGCTGACAACAGTTACGAGCACTCCACTATCAGCAAACTTCAGCACGCAGAGAGTCCAAAGAAGCCCTGCAGAGCATGTGTTTGAAGCTGTGTAGCATGACCTGAAAGTAAATGAAAATACAGTACAGAATGTATTTGTAAACTTTAAAAAATTGTCAACAAAAGATGGAGATATGATAAACCACACCACAATATCATAAGAGGACACTTTTTGCTATTGTAGACTGAGAAAAGAAAAATCCTTATTGCATTTGTTTTTATTAATTAAACAATCAAAGTAGGCACTACCTACATACTGTACAAAGTAGAGACAAGTGACAGAAATAACAAACAAAAAAGGCACTGGAGCAATACACAAGAATGGATCAAAGTAGAATGACTTGGAGAGAGTATAAATCTGTAAGGGAAAGAAGGCGGAGTAGGGGTCATCCTCGAAAAGGTTGGAGGGAGGGGGTAAAGGAGGTTTTGTGGGCGAGGGGTTTGGACTTCCAGCAAGCATGTGTGAGTGTGTTAGATAGGAGTGAATGGAGACAAAATGGTTTTTGGGACCTGACGAGCTGCTGGAGTGTGAGCAGGGTAATATATAGTGAAGGGATTCAGGCAAACCGATTATTTTTATATAGCCAGACTTGAGTAATGGAAATGGGAAGTACAATGCCTATACTTTAAAGGAGGGGTTTGGGATATTGGGAGTATGTTATATATGCTCTAAACTGTTGTATCTGGGCACCTCTGCAAAGACAGTGATTATGTGTGAGTGAGGTGAAAGTGTTGAATGATGATGAAAGTATTTGGTTTTGGGGAATTTTCTTTCTTTTTGGGTCGCCCTGCCTTGGTGGGAGACGGCCGACTTGTTGAAAAAAAAAAAAAAAAAAAAAAAATATATATATATTTATATATATATACTATATATATATATATATATAATATATATATATATATATATAACTATGATATATATTATAATGGAGGCAAAGAAGGGAATGATGAAAGTATAGTAGTACACATCTTATATGGGGTTGAAGCTTGTGGTAAATGCAGGCGGAGGAGACGGTTGGAGGCAGTGGAGATGTCTGTTAAGGGAATGTGTGTTAAATATTATGCAGAAAATTCGAGTGTGAAATTAGGATATAGTTGGAGTTAATATAAGTATTAGTCAGAGGGCAGAAGGAGGGTTGTTGAGGTGGTTTTGGTCATTTAGAGAGAAATGTATCAAAAGTTAGAATGACATGAAAGCATATAAATCTTAGGGAAGGAAGGCGGTAAGGTAGGGTTTCGTCCTCGAAAAGGGTTGAGAGAGGGCGGTAAAGGAGGATTTGTGGGTAAGGGGCTTGGACTTCCAGCAAGCGTTTTTGCGTGTGCGTGTTATTAGGAGTGAATGAGACGAATGGTATTGGGACCATGACGATCTGTTGGGAGTGTGAGCAGGTAATTATTTATGAGGGATTTTTGGAAACGGTTATTTTCATATAGTCGGACTTGAGTCTGGAAATGGAAAGAACAATGCCCTGCACTTAAAGGAGGGGTTTGGAGATATGGCATTTGGAGGGATTGTTGTGTCTCTTTATTGTGTTATGCTTCTAGACTGTGTTGTGATGCAGTCTGCAAAAAACAGTGATAATGTGCGTGCTTGTGAAAGTTGTTGATATGAGTTGAAAGTATTTTCTTTTTGGGGATTTTCTTTCTTTTTTGGGTCACCCCTGCCTCGGTGGAGACGGCGACTTGCTGAAAAAAAAAAATTAGACTTAGAAAAGACATAGGTAGAGTACCCCTTTTCAGAGTTGTTGTATGCAGGACAGCTTCCACAGTAGGGTAATGGAGGCTAAGACTATGGGGTAGCTTAAAAAAGAGATTGGACAAATATATGAGTGGGGAGGGCTGGTGTTGATTGTGTCTGGGGTATAAGCAAATCTTGTGTAGCTTTGGGAAATGTCAAACAAATTACATGGGTGGTTTTTGATAAGGACTCACCATTGTTATAGGCCAGTAAGCTGCTGTAGTGGTCCTCATATTTATATCTAGCGAGGCAGCACTGATGAGTGAATGATGTTTCCTTTTCTTGGGAGGTCACCTTGCCTAGGTGGGTGATGGGCAATGTGATAAAAAGAAAGTCAACACACCAGTCCAAAAAACAAGCTCAGACATGAAGTTATTTTTAACCTTAGCTTTTTCATAAGCTGTATGGTATCGCAAGTTTTCTGAAACTGCTCACAGCCACAAGGTGGACCTGATTTCTCTCCACCATACTTGAAGGATAGCATGTATAAAGTTAAAATATAAAAAAGATCCAGTATTAATATTTTGTGGCGCTGGCTACAGCACGTAGAGGCCCAGTTATATTTTTTAAAGGAAAATGTTAAAGAAATATTAAATTTATTTTTACAGGCTAACCACAATTAAAAATTCAAACATTTGCTTTGTGTGATTTCTTGAAATAAAATTATGATCACTTTCACTTATTCTTTAGAGGACCTCCAGCTGGTGGAGGGGGATGGGCTGTAGCCCCTCATAAACCCATGCATAATCCATTTTCCGAATTTGACCACATGAAAGACCTTTCAAGCTACCTTTTCTGCTTTAATATCAACATTTTCAAGGAACACATACTTACTTGAATACATCACTAAAGCACTTGCAATTGTGTTCTCTTACATTTGATCAAATTGCATACTAAGACTCACCATTGCATAATTTGAAGCCAAGAAAGTTAATAAGTCGAACTGCCTTAAAGAAATTCAGGTCTTTCTTGTAATGGTGGATATATTTACATATAATAATGTGACACAAGATGGAAAATTTTGGGGATGGTATTTTTCACCCAGAACCAAAAAATTAAATTTGAAAATTCGGGAAAACTTAAATTTTTTTTTTTTTGTCAAAGGGGGCAACCACTTTTGGGGTGGGAAACCCAATTAGCTTGGAAAGTTTCCCCCTTTTTTTCTCTAGCGGGGGGAAAATTTTTTCATCAAAACTTCCTAGCGGGGGGGGGTTTTAATAAAAATATACAAGAAAAAATATAAGTCCAGTTGAAGTAAAGGGTAATATTGTAGTCTATAAAGTAAATGTATGCAAATAATGGCTGAAAATAATAATGACATTAAATACTGTATGTACTGTATTGTATAATATTAAAAGTTTAAAATTTGAATAACAATATGGAGTTATTTTTATAAATAATGTGCCATTCACTGTTGTCAATGTATTTTTATGAGGGCAAAAATAATCCATTTTAATGAAAAAATATTCCAAAGTCAGGGACATAGTATATACGTAATATGCATGTAGTTTCTTTTTGTAAAAACAATGCATCAATTCCTAGAAAACCGTATGACTTACAGATTTTGCACTCGACTATAAAAAATTTAATAAAGAAAAACAAGACGTGGTACAGTACTGGGGTAAATGAATGATGATTTTGGTCAATATTTTTGTAAATGTTAGCATTTCTAGATAACTGTTGCTTCAGATAAAGAATTTTCCCAGATGGACCGTGACTCCCTCAATATGCATGGTAATAATAAACTGAGGGGTATTAAGAACTTAAGAATGATAAATAGGGATGTAGGTGGGGCTTATATTGTCAAAGCAAGCCTCAGAGAAGTCGATGTTTCAGCATTTCTGCTGTTTGTTATTTAACATTAGTGTGTTAAGCTGTTAACATTATTATCTTGCACTATTCCCATGTTATTTATTTGAATTTAAATGAACCCTTTGTTGTATTTACTTTTCATGTTTGCTTTGTACTTTAATATTTTAAATACGTATATGAGATTTTATTACTCTCCAGATGTGCATATTTTATTATAGTTGTCTGTTTTTAACATTTAATATATCAATACAGTATTTTCTCTCCAGATTTTATGGTATTTATACGTGGCCATTTTGTTAAATTTCTTAAAATTTCATTCATTATTGTAATGTAAAGTTTAAGGATTAATATTACTGGTTTTATTCAATATAATTTTTGTTGACAACTTTGGTAACTTCAAAACTGTTTTTCAAAATTATGACTGAGTTGCTTGCCCCTTATTTTCTCTACAGTTGTTCTGCAGAAATATAGTTTTTCATGTTTTTCATAGCCTTTCTGCCTTATAGCAATAGATGACCTCAGGGGGTTTTTATATTTTTTATTTGTCCCACAATACCCTCAATTTGATGAACAAGACATGTGCAAGACCTGAGTATATTAATAAAGATTTGCTAACCAGTGGCTTTTTTTTCAATTTAGTACAGTGATTATAAACTGAAGATCATGGGAGTAGGGAAATAAATCCCTCAGACTTCATAGGTGTTCAGTCCCTTAGTCTTGAGTTTTCATCAAGACTTAGGCACTGAACACTTATCATGGCTGAGGGATTTGATTACATCTTCGTCTCTAGTTTATAACCCCCTCTACTGATTTGAAAAGGCCACTGGGGGGTAAATTGTCTTCATGAAAGATACCTAGGTCTTGCACTTGCATTTTATTTATCAGTATTATAATTATCAGCCCATGTTGAGCAGCATGTAATTTTGTGCCTGTTACATTTCTTCTCTTGCTGTATGGTGATTTACTCATTTGGCATATTTTCTATTTCATTGCTATCCTTTTCCTTGGATTGAATCTGATTGCTTCCCATTACCCTGGTACTATACTACCTCTATGGCTTAATACTGAATGTATAGTTCATAAATTATGGAGCTGCATTAAACCCACAGGGATCATACATTCCCTGGGAAAAGGAAGGGAATTGGGGACACTCAAAGGGAAAATTGAGATAGGTCCAATTTCAGTCTGACATGTTTCAGTACAACCTTCACAAATAGAATTTGTAACCCATTCATAAATAATTAAAATTAATCAAATTATTTTTGTTTTTATTTAAAAGTTTACATTTTGTTATAACATCTTTAAAAATTTAAATACAATATTAACAAGTTGAATAAAATGCCCTGTCCAACATTCTCTAAAGCTGAAATGTCTTGCCTAGACAACAAGTTCACAAGAGACAGCAGAGTAGGAGTTTTGAGGTAATCCACTCTCAATCTTGGAAGGTGGTAACCAATCCTCAAGTTTGAGGCAAAGGCCTTTGACCAGACCCCGTATTTATGTACAAGGTCTTTCTGCAGGCCCTGATTCAGGCTTGAGGAAACTGATCACCTCAAAACCACCACACTAACTCTTATTATAATCAGAGAAAGTGCTAAACCTAACTCTCTAGTATTATATTTGAATATAAATAATAAAGCCTACTGCACAGGTGAATCATTTCAGCAATAAAGATACACTAGTGTCTGTATAATTGCATTTATCACAATGATCTGACATTTGCACATTCAAGGGTTTTGTACACATCTCTATGTACATGTGTACAAAATTAAATATAAACTCTGTGAAAGATGGAACTGAAAGCTTCTCAATGCATTTCAACCCCTCAAGGGGTCAAAATGCATAAACAGGCATCACCCTCTTGAGGGACTTATGCCGATGAGTTCTTGATCCAAGGAACCCAACTCCCACTTCCTTGTAATGAACCTGATGCTTCCTATTTTCACAAGCAATGTATGACCCCCCTATGGGTTTAGCACTCCCTCCATGAAGATATATTTAGGGGAAAAGGCTAAACCCATAGGAGTCGTACAGCCCTTGGGATTGAGAGGCAATCAGGTTTAATCAAAGTAATGGAAGGACAGGTCAAATTCCTTTGATCAAGAGCCCCTCACCAACATCAAGGAACCTCCCTGAAAGAGAAGCTTTGAGCTCCAACATTCATTTTCAGTTATTTCAATTCCTTTAACCATAATATAATACCATTATGGTCATAAATACTGTACTCAAACATATACACGATAGGTAAATGGAGATACTTTACCTCCATGAACAGGGAAATCACTTCAATAAAAATTTAGCCATTCATACACCACATACAAATTATTGTTCAATCTTCCTTGTGCGCGTACATATACTTTTGACTAAGAGCACGGCTCTTCATGATCCGAGAAATAAGTGATGGGGCGAGTGTGTGCAGAATGATGGCAAGCCGGTGAGACAAGGGAGCCAACACTAGTTCCTCGTATCCATTTATCAAACTTCCAACGATGTGTTCAGCAACCTTTTCTGGGCTCATGCCAGAAGCTGTAGTTGCATCCATGGCTAAAAAAAATATGTAGAATATTGCCTTAGATGTTTTAGAACTACAAAATTGTGCATCCAAAGTTAATTTCCCCCCCCCCCCCCCCCAAAAAAAAAAAAAAGTGCCAGAGCATGAGAATTTAATTTTAGTTTTAGAAAAATATCCATGCCTTTAAAAGACAAAATTTTCAAGAGATTCTTGAAGGCAGTGCGTTTTTCCAAGCATGGGAAAATAATGGAACATACTGGCAACAATAAAAAAAAAAAAAAACCTGCAGAACAAGCTTTTATTAGGCAACTTTTTATCTTTTGTATGACTTGATAAAGATCTTAAAAGATACAAAATTCATGCAATATACACTCCTGGGAAGGAAGAGGTGATGAATGGAATTATCTTGGGTTAGCAAAGCAGAGAGGTGTACTGGACAATGTTAAACTATCATCTGGTTTCTGGCTGGCATGGTTAGGTTAACCCTAGCTAAAGTAAATGCACCTTTTTGTTTCATAGTGGTCTGTGTACTATACTAATTAAAGCAATTTCCATATAGCCTCCTTATTTGATGAAAAGTATGGCATCTTACAAAGCCATAAGGTTTGAATGGTTATCCTGGTGTTTATCCTGTTAACAAAAAGAGGACAACATTACTGCCAGAACATACATTATTCACTGTGGTTATAATAAGCAGTACATTAGCAAAACTGTGTAATCCAAATGCCAGAATTAAGGAACTTCAATACACTTGTAGAACCACCAACAATACCTGCATAGTTCATTGGGATAAACATTCACACCTTATGGCATGGCAAGATACTAAAATCAAAGCAACATTGCTAGATGTGTGGAAACTGCTTTAATATACTGAACAGAACCAAGGTGCATTTAACCTAGCTAGACCATGGGCTCACATCATACTATAAAGACATTCTTGGCAAACACACTGACTAGAAACCAGTAGACAGTGCTGTCGATCCAAGATTCATCACGCTCCAATGATTTCATTCACCCCATTTCTCTTTACCTCCCAGGAAAATATATCGTATACATTTTGTATCTTCTGTATGATTTGGAAAAGATCTTAGTAAATTAAAATGTTGTCCCAATAAAAACTTGTTTTGCACAGTGTATCTTCTCGCACAGTCAAGTGATACAGCAGAGCTGCTACTCTTTAAACAGACTGAAAAGTGTCACTATACAATGTAAATATATCAAAATACTTTAGTCAATAAATTAAATTTTTTGAAACCTCTGACAAGTGTGCTGCCAGCAATAACTTGGCTAATAAGGAGTACTCGAGCCACTGATAACTATACTGCAAAATTTTTGACTGACAAATATTTGCTGTAATAATGCCTATGAGAAGTGGCTAGATACTGTATAGATGCTGAATCCTCAGCTCTTATGTTAGGTAGTAAAAGGGCACAAGAGCATATGGTATCCAGACAGAGATTAACTTATAAGCTAACAGCAGCATTCAATTAATATTCTACAGTCTGAGGGCATATTAACATTTCAAGGAACAAGGGTCCCAATCATCTGGGTACTTAATGTAAAATTTGTTGTCTTATATACCTAATTTCTTCTTTTACTGCTAGTCATCTTCCACCAAGGTAGGGTGACAAGAAAAAGAAGAAACACTTTCACCATCACTCATTCTATCACTGTCTTGCCAAAGGTGTGCAGATACTATAGTTCAGATGCCCCTTCAAACTGCAAATATCCCTACCTCTCCTTCAGAATACAGGCACTGTACTTTCTGCCTCCGGGACTAAAGTTCAGCTAACTGGTTTCCCTGAATCCCTTCACAAAATGTTGTCTTGCTCACATTAGCAGCTTGTTTAAGTATCAAAAACCCTTTACCTCTAGTCATTCCTATCTAACATGCTTACACACCTGTTGGATGTCCAAACCCATTGCACACATAACCTCCTTTACCCCCTCTAACCTTTCCTAGGGTAACCCCTACCCTGCTTTCCCTCCACTACAGATCTATACACCCAAATCATCCTATTTTTCTCCTCTAAATGTCCAAACCACCTCAACAACCCCCTCCTCAGCCCTCTGGATAATACTTTTAGTAACTTCGCACCTCCTCCTAAGACTTTTTTTTTGCACAAAATAATTTAACCTAATGAAACAACATTTCAACACCACATGAAAAATTTGAATGCAAGATATGCCAATCTCAGTTTTACTTACTGCCGTATAATGAGCCATCACCAGTAACAGCATTTAAAGAAAGATTTGTCGAGATATATCCTGGGCTGACAACAGTTACGAGCACTCCACTATCAGCAACTTCAGCACGCAGAGAGTCAAAGAAGCCCTGCAGAGCATGTTTTGAAGCTGTGTAGCATGACCTGAAAGTAAATGAAAATACAGTACAGAATGTATTTGTAAACTTTAAAAAATTGTCAACAAAAGATGGAGATATGATAACCACACACAATATCATAAGAGGACACTTTTTGCTATTGTAGACTGAGAAAAGAAAAATCCTTATTGCATTTGTTTTTATTAATTAAACAATCAAAGTAGGCACTACCTACATACTGTACAAAGTAGAGACAAGTGACAGAAATAACAAACAAAAAAGGCACTGGAGCAATACACAAGAATGGATCAAAGTAGAATGACTTGGAGAGAGTATAAATCTGTAAGGGAAAGAAGGCGGAGTAGGGGTCATCCTCGAAAAGGTTGGAGGGAGGGGGTAAAGGAGGTTTTGTGGGCGAGGGGTTTGGACTTCCAGCAAGCATGTGTGAGTGTGTTAGATAGGAGTGAATGGAGACAAATGGTTTTTGGGACCTGACGAGCTGCTGGAGTGTGAGCAGGGTAATATATAGTGAAGGGATTCAGGCAAACCGATTATTTTTATATAGCCAGACTTGAGTAATGGAAATGGGAAGTACAATGCCTATACTTTAAAGGAGGGGTTTGGGATATTGGGAGTATGTTATATATGCTTCTAAACTGTTGTATCTGGGCACCTCTGCAAAGACAGTGATTATGTGTGAGTGAGGTGAAAGTGTTGAATGATGATGAAAGTATTTGGTTTTGGGGAATTTTCTTTCTTTTTGGGTCGCCCTGCCTTGGTGGGAGACGGCCGACTTGTTGAAAAAAAAAAAAAAAAAAAAAAAAAAATATATATATATATATATATATATATATATATATATATATATATATATATATATATATATATATATATATTATATATATATATATATATATATGGAGGCAAAGAAGGGAATGTATGAAAGTATAGTAGTACCAACACTCTTATATGGGGTGTGAAGCTTGGGTGGTAAATGCAGCAGCGAGGAGACGGTTGGAGGCAGTGGAGATGTCCTGTTTAAGGGCAATGTGTGGTGTAAATATTATGCAGAAAATTCGGAGTGTGGAAATTAGGAGAAGGTGTGGAGTTAATAAAAGTATTAGTCAGAGGGCAGAAGAGGGGTTGTTGAGGTGGTTTGGTCATTTAGAGAGAATGGATCAAAGTTAGAATGACATGGAAAGCATATAAATCTATAGGGAAGGAAGGCGGGGTAGGGGTCGTCCTCGAAAGGGTTGGAGAGAGAGGGGGTAAAGGAGGTTTTGTGGGTAAGGGGCTTGGACTTCCAGCAAGCGTGCGTGAGCGTGTTAGATAGGAGTGAATGGAGACGAATGGTACTTGGGACCTGACGATCTGTTGGAGTGTGAGCAGGGTAATATTTAGTGAAGGGATTCAGGGAAACCGGTTATTTTCATATAGTCGGACTTGAGTCCTGGAAATGGGAAGTACAATGCCTGCACTTTAAAGGAGGGGTTTGGGATATTGGCAGTTTGGAGGGATATGTTGTGTATCTTTATATGTGTATGCTTCTAGACTGTTGTATTCTGAGCACGTCTGCAAAAACAGTGATAATGTGCGAGTGTGGTGAAAGTGTTGAATGATGATGAAAGTATTTTCTTTTTGGGGATTTTCTTTCTTTTTTGGGTCACCCTGCCTCGGTGGGAGACGGCCGACTTGTTGAAAAAAAAAAATATTTAGATTTAGAAAAGACATAGGTAAGTACCCCTTTTCAGAGTTGTTGTTGCATGGAACAGTCTTCCAAGTAGGGTAATGGAGGCTAAGACTTTGGGTAGCTTAAAAAAGAGATTGGACAAATATATGAGTGGGAGGGGCTGGGGTTGATTTGTGTCTGGGGTATAGAAGCAAATTCTTGTGTAGCTTTGGGAAATGGCAGAACAAATACATGGGTGGTTTTTGATAAGGACCAGCCTTGTATAGGCCAGTAAGCCTGCTGTAGTGTTCCTCCATATTTATGTTATCTAGCGAGGCAGCACTGAATGAGTGATGATGTTTCCTTTTTTGGGGAGGTCACCTTGCCTAGGTGGGTGATGGGCAATGTGATAAAAAGAAAGTACAACCACACAGTCAAAATAAAACAAGCTCAGACATGAAGTTATTTTTAACCTTAGCTTCTTACCTGTATGGTATCGCAAGTTTTCCCTGAACACTGCTCACAGCCACAAGGTGACCTGATTTTCTCTCCACCATACTTGGAAGGATAGCTGTAAAAGTAAAATATAAAACAGAGCCAGATTAAGATTTTGTAGGCCGCTGGGCTACAGGCACTGTGAGGCCCCCAGTGATATTTTTAAAAGGAAAATGTTAAAGAAATATTAAATTTATTTTTACAAGGCTAACCACAATTAAAATTCAAACATTTGCTTTGTGTGATTTCTTGGAAATAAATTATGAACACTTTTCACTTAATCTCTAGAGGCCCTCCAGCTGGTGGAGGACCCTGGGCTGTAGCCCCTAAACCCATGCCTTAATCCAGCCACGAATATGACCACATGAAAGAACTTTCAAGCACTTTTCTGCTTTAATAATCAACATTTTCAAGGAACACAGTGTTACTTGATACATCACTAAAGCACTTGCAATTTGTTTCTCTTACATTGTGATCAAATTGCATACTAAGACACCATGTGCATAATAAGCCAAGAAAGTCTAATAAGTCGAACTGCCTTAAAAGGAAATTCAGGTTCTATCTTGTAATGGTGGATATACGTATTTACATAAAATAATGTGACACAAGATGGAAAATTATATGGAAAGGAGATGTAAATTCTGACCTCAGATCCCTCTTCACAAGATAGGGGTTATTTAAGGTCAAAATGTACAGAACATTACATTCTATTTTTTTTTTTTTTTTTTTTTGTTCATGTGGGACTTACCTTTCCATATAAAGAAATGTTCAGAGAAATGCCCAGAGAATTATAAAAGCTTAATGTAACATGCACTCACCAACATAACTAACCTTTTGTTAGAGCAACCTGGCCAAAATAATTTACAACCATCAGCTTTATATCAACACTGATGTCAGTGTCAATGGCTGCGCCTCGAAATGAAATGCCAGCGTTGTTGATAAGGACATCAATATGTCCATGGGTTTTGAGGAGGTTATCGACCATCCCTGGAATGCTGTTTATGTTCTCCAGATCCAGTTTTACGATAGTAGGAACATGCAGCTCTGGAGGCTGAAATATATTTCATCATTATTATTTTGCTATATGGCTTTCTTATTTAATTACTCATTACTTACTATGAATACCAAAAACATACATAACTGATATTTTAAGGTTACCTTAGTAGGTTTTCAAACGTGATATCATTCAGCACGTTTCGGGTGTTATTTCTGACATTAACGTGAATGCAAGAATAATCAAAATTAAGCATCCAGTTTTACAGGGTTGCTGCTATTGGCATTATGCATCATAGACGAATACTGAGGCCCAGAACATCAAACATAATTTTCATGTAAGTAAATAATGAATATACAAAATAAGCAGCTTTGGAGATAACAGAGATTATTAAAAGTGAATTGCATGTTTGTAACTAATATATGATACAAAGATGGTCAAGTACCGTGAGGACGATCACAAGAACGCACAAGAGATAAGCTTTACATTTCGGTCGACTTGGACATTAACAAAAATTATTTTGTCAGGCCGAGTGGACTATAACAGGTAAGACTTTCTCAAATTTAATTAGCAGTGTTATTTGTTATAAACATAAGAACATAAGAAAGGAGGAACACTGCAGCAGGCCTGTTGGCCCATACTAGGCAGGTCCTTTACAATTCATCCCACTAACAAAACATTTGCCCAACCCAATTTTCAATGCTACCCAAGAAATAAGCTCTGATGTGCAAGTCCCATTCAAATCCAACCCCTCCCACTCATGTACTTATCCTACCTAAATTTGAAACTACCCAAAGTCCTAGCCTCAATAACCCAACTAGGTAGACTGTTCCACTCATCAACTACCCTATTTCCAAACCAATACTTTCCTATGTCCTTTCTAAATCTAAACTTATCTAATTTAAATCCATTACTGCGGGTTCTCTCTTGGAGAGATATCCTCAAGACCTTATTAATATCCCCTTTATTAATACCTATCTTTCACTTATACACTTCGATCAGGTCTCCCCTCATTCCTCGTCTAACAAGTGAATGTAATTTAAGAGTCTTCAATCTTTCTTCATAAGGAAGATTTCTAATGCTATGCATTAATTTGGTCATCCTACGCTGAATGTTTTCTAACGAATTTATGTCCATTCTGTAATATGGAGACCAGAATTGAGCTGCATAATCTGGGTGAGGCCTTACTAATGATGTATAAAGCTGCAGTATGACCTCTGGACTTCTGTTGCTTACACTTCTTGATATAAATCCCAGTAATCTATTTGCCTTGTTACATACGCTTAGGCATTGCTGTCTTGGTTTAAGGTTGCTGCTCACCATAACCCCCAAGTCCTTTTCGCAATCTGTATGGCTAAGTTTTACATCGTTTAACTTATAAGTGCTAGGGTTATGGACACTCCCGAGCTTCAGAACCTTGCATTTATCTACACTGAACTGCATCTGCCACTTATGCCACAATATGCAAGGTTGCAAAAAACAATTTTATCATAAACACTATGTTCTTAAAACATTTCATGGTACAGGTCTCCCTCCACATTCGCGAGTTCCTTTTTAGCTGGCTTCGAACATTCGCGAATGCCCAGCCACCCAATCATAATGTGTATATACAATATTTTATGATGTTTTCGTGTGTTTTATGATTGTTCGAGGTTCAACAGGTTAAGGAAGCAGTATTGTTTGGCTAAGTAAATGTGGAGGGAGACCTGCACATGTGAAGAATTAACTTTTATAAGTGTGATAAAAAATAAGGTCAATATGAAAATACTGTACTATACAAAGGTTTTTTAAGTCTTGGCTAAAAAAAATAGTTATACACCTACAAAGTCTATATGCAAGACAAAAAAAATAAAACGTGTCCACTGATGGGAGATGACTGACAAATATTAAACCTACCAACACTACAATAAATCCAAATGATGTACTGCCAGCAACAGTGAAAAGACATGCTGAACAAGCTTTTGTTGGGACTAAAACAAACTTTGCTCTGAAAATAATACAGTATATATAGATACAGTATATTCTCCATGGGGAAGTGGAACAGAATTCTTCCTCCATAAGTTATGCGCGTTGTAAGAGGTGACTCAAATGCCCCTTCTCCTGTATTTTTTTTTTTTTTCTCAACAAGTTGTCCGTCTCCCACCAAGGCAGGGTGACCCAAAAAGAAAGAAAATCCCCAAAAAGAAAATACTTCCATCATCATTCAACACTTTCACCTCACTCACACAATCACTGTTTTTGCAAAGGTATATATATATTACTGTATATATTACTCTAATTTAAAAAGAGAACCTTTTGTTTTTCTTTTTTGGCCACCCTGCCTCGGTGGGATATGGCCAGCGCGTTGAAAGAAGGAGATATACTTTTACATAATCAAACAAACTTAATCCTTGCCAGTACAGGAGGGGGCCCAAGTTTACAGTGTGTCACTAATACAAACATTTCAATTTATACCAAAAAAATTTGTTTATACAGCTCCTGATTCACTATCATTGCCTGAGCTCCTGGCTGGCTGGCTGGCTGGGCATCCGCACATCATTTTCTTTCTCTTAGTCTGTTTACATTCTCCTTGAGTGCTGCCTCTCTCTCAGTTCTGTCTTGACACTCCAAAGTTTCAAGTATTTTCAAGTTATTGCACATTTTATATTATACTCTTTTTGTGTTAAGGATAGTCGTGATGAAAAGACAAGTCATAAGGCTCTTACTTTAAATGCACTGATAATTGTACTTACATGTACAATGGTACTGATAATTGTACTTACATGTACAATGTACTGATAACTGTACTTACATGTACCTGTACCTAAATAAACTTACACACTATGCTGGCATGCAGGTACAATAAAATCACTATATGGCATTGTTAGCAAGAAGCAGCAGCTATGCCAGGTGAGGAAGAGGAAGTGGTATGTAGTGCTTGACCATTCTCTAGGATGCAACCCGCAACAACTGACAAAATCCCAGGTACCTTTTACTGAATGTTAACAGGTAGTGGGTTTAAGTAGACTTACCCATATGTCTCGACTTATTCATACCTACAAACAAAGTTTATTTCTTTGCAAGGTTACATCGAGATTATGAAATTACAATACGTAATGGGGTACAGTGCAAAGAGAGCCACTATCATGCCTCGGCATTATGGGCAGACTTAATTTAATGGGTTTAGCATTTAATGTGAATACATATAGGGTAATAATCTGAATAATGAAAGTTTTTTAGACAATGTTGCAATGGTGCCCCAACACTTGCATAACTTAAAAATTTATAGTTTTGAACACAATTTTAAGGCACAGTCATTACTACATAAAGACTATGAACTGAGAGTTAAACAGGGACATCTAATAAAGAGGAGCCAGGTCAAAAGGCCACCACTTGGAACTCCATGACATTTTTTCTGTTAACTGAGTGACACTGATTAATAGAATTTCACATAAAAGAACTGTTACTCCATCAATTATTAGTAAAAACTAGAGGTGGCTATTTATCTCCAGAAGTAAATGTCTTAACTCAGAAACAGCCATTAATGATTAAACTAAAAAATAGGTAAAGAGAATAATAAATAGTGAGGGAAGGTATGGGGGTAGCTGAAGATAGAAATGTAGCATTTATTGGAAAGAAAGCATACTGACCGAAGACAGTAACCAGTAATCATCAATGGAAGACAGTAACTATCAACAGAAGAAATGCAATTATCAATATAAAAAAGTAATGGTAACCATTTTTAAAAATAACCACCAGTTCAAATGAACAAACAACGAATTTAAACTAACCTTTCCACACAAAGCCTTTTCACCAGAAAAGGCTCGATACATCACCACCTGAAGGACTCTATACACGAGTCGTACTGCAACAATTGGTCCCATCACAGTCAGAGTTGCCCATCCTGCCACAAAAGATGTTGCATAAACTTCACTGCAAGTGATCATCATATGAGCAGTCTATTAACAATTTGTATAAATTATTAGGTTGTCATCCTGTAACTAAGACACCAGTAAAATAACGAGTTATGGTATAAGGAACGTAGAGACAAATTTAGGAGCACCATCTCTAACTGCTTTGGAGACAGATGAGGGTTCCATCTTAAGGAGAGTTGTGCTGAGAGGGTCCATGGTGATGGCTTCCTCCGAGGTATGTTTCATCTTCAACTGAGTTCTCCTCAGTCATGATCCCCATTTTATATCAGACTAAGAGGCATGAGTTGACAAATCACTTTTTCTCCAATCGTTTCTTCTGGGTAAAGTGGTAACAGATGATTTTTCAAACCCATAACCTAGAATTCCAAGGCAGTCTTGCTTTTACAGTACGTATTCATAATACTGTGTAGAATTTTTTTTTTTTTCCAACACGTTGGTTGTCTCCCACCGAGGCAGGGTGACCCAAAAAGAAAGAAAATCCCCAAAATGAAAATACTTTCATTATCATCAACACTTTCACGTCACTCATACATAATCGCTGTCTTTGCAGAGGCACTTAGATGTGACAGTTTAAAAGTCAACCTCCAAACTGCCAATATCCCAAACCCCTCCTTTAAAGTGCAGGCATTGTACTTCCCATTTCCTGGACTCAAGTCCGGCTAACTGGTTTCCCCGAATCCCTTCACAAAATATTACCCATTTATTATGGCAATTACTGTAGATGCTTATCTAGCATCTTTTTAATTCTGACAACTCATTCACCTCACAAATTGAGTGTCCATGGTATGATCCCTGACATAGATGGAACAATAGGCATATTTCCTTACACCTGCTGTCCCTGTTCACCTGGCAGTGAGTAGGTCCCTGTGTGTTAGTCAACTTGTCGTGGGTCACACCTTGGGGGACAAGATTGAAAGACCCCAATGGAAATAAGATAGACAGTTCTTGATGACACACTGACTATTGGATTATCCTGGGTGGTTAACCTTCTGGGTTAAAAATCCACACAAATCTTCTTATAGGATTATTCAAAATACTATAATACGTACTGTCATCCTGTAACTAAGAAATTTTTAAGATCCCACAATTGCTAGATACTTTTTTAGCTATCTACAGTTAGAGTACATTCTACTGTCTTGGATGAACTTTATTTTAGTAGTTAATACATATGCATAATATAAAACTTAATACCAATAAAATCAAGATTACATTTAAGCAGTTTGAGGCACATGAAGAATATTTACCTATAAACCAAGGTATTGAACTCCACACAGCAAGGTTACGCGTGTGTTTGATAGCTCTGCCTAGGGATGCAACCCATTCTGTGTGACTACTAATGTTTTTCATCTTGCACATGACAGATTAACTTTATAATCTTAATTCATCCTCATCTGCAAAATAAAGAAAACAAATATACATATGAACAAATCACATCAACACATGATAAGGAAGAGAATACACAAATTGAGCATATAACTACCTATCTTAAGCATCTCTGATGCACCAACCTGATGGAAAAAAAAAAAACAGTATTTTCAAAACATTAACCTTATAAACTTTCCTTATGTTTGCATCCACTGCTATTTTATGCTATCATTATTCCAACAACCTGAAGAACAGTAATTGCTTTATAAAACTTTTTATACTTTAGTTAAGGCCCACTGACTACACAAGAGCCATTTAGACTGTAATCCACTTACATACTACTAAATTAATTTTACGGACAAGGTCAGCAACTGCAAATACACGTTTGTTGCTCAAAACAAAAACAATGATTGTTTTTGTCAGTATTTAAAAGAAATTTTTTTTTCCATAAATTATTAAAACTTTGCAGTCCAGTTCCTGGGCCCATTATGTGCCTCTGTAATATTTTGACTACTGCCCACAAGATGGGTATAGGGTGCTTAATAGGGATATTTAACTAACAAACCAGTTCCTTGGAGCAAGAGCTCTTTACCAGCCTCAAGAAACCCCTTCCTAAGGATTTTTTTTCATAATAAGATGCACATATCTGAAAGATACAAATACATAAAACTTCATTTTTTAACACACCGGCCACCAAAAAACTAAATTTACTTTCAATCATTTAATGTGACTAATAATATATCAATAATCTCTTAGCCAAAGTTATAACAAAATTAAAATAGTAATCACTGATGAAAACAAATATAATTAGGTGGCCCGGTGGCCTGGTGGCTAGAGCTCCCGCTTCACACACGGAGGGCCCGGGTTCGATTCCCGGCGGGTGGAAACATTTCGACACGTTTCCTTACACCTGCTGTCCTGTTCACCTAGCAGCAAATAGGTACCTGGGTGTTAGTCGACTGGTGTGGGTCGCATCCTGGGGGACAAGATTAAGGACCCCAATGGAAATAAGTTAGACAGTCCTCGATGACGCACTGACTTTCTTGGGTTATCCTGGGTGGCTAACCCTCCGGGGTTAAAAATCCGAATGAAATCTTATCTTATCTTATCTTAAAGACCCATAACATAGAGTAAAAGGATCCACAGGTCGGTTGGTAGTGACTCGGCTCACACACTAAGTGTCTGTGTTTCAATCCCCGGTACGGGTGAAAACATTGGGCATGTTTCCTTAAGACACCTGCTGTCCCTATTAACCTAGCAGTAAATAGGTACCTGGGTGTTAGCTGATTGGCGTGGGTCACATCCTGGGGGACAAAATTAATCTAAGTTGACCGAAATGCTCTGCACAACCCGCGACTTTCTATATAGTATATTGCTGATGTCAACTATGGTCTGTAAAAGTTGTATCATGTACTTGTAGAAATAAAGATTATATCATTATTATTATCTTCTACATATGTAATATGTCCATAATAAAGACTAAACAATCTTATCACTATTATTATTATTATAATTACGTATTCACAAGTTATAAATTATGTATGAGAGTATATGGTTGGCCCTGATCATGGAAATATTTCATTATTTGGCTGTACATGTCAAGCTATGAAAACTTTGTGATCCAGTTCCTGGACCCATTATATGCTTCTGTAATGTTGAGGCACAGTTCCTGGACCCATTATGTGTGTCTGTAATGTTGAGGCACAGTTCCTGGACCCATTATGTGTGTCTGTAATCTTCTGACCACCCACACCATAGGTATCTGGTGCATAATAAATACGTTAAACTAAACTAACTGGTTTCTCATAAACTAAATCTAAATTTTTCAAGCATGTTTCTTAACAATAAACACTTGCTTAATACAAACGGCGCAAAAATTAAAAATAATAGGTAAAAAAAATTATTTCGTTTATACTAAATAAAAGGTCACTAACCTTCCTTAGCTTCCTTCCTCTAACCTCAGAAAATTATCGTTCCATAACATATTCTGATTTTATTCTTTACTTCGCCATTCCCCAATATTCACCTAAAGTGACAATTATCTTGCAAACCACTCAGCATATACATTAAAGGTTAAATAATGTATTTCCACCAGAAAAGACAACAGGTAAAGGACTCCAATGGGCCACTTTGTCTAGTTTTTTTTTGGGAGGGGGGTTTTCCCAAGTTCTCTACACATACGCTGCTATGTATGATAATCTATGTAACTATGTATATGCCTGAATAAACTTACAAACAGCCTACCTCCCCTAGAGTTCACGAGGTACTGAGGACCTCCACCTCCATCAGTAACTTTACTTACAATGTAAACAATGAGTAATTGTGACGTCATGGTCGACACATTTCTATATATTAAATAAGATAAAACCAATTTTATTTATGTGCAAAGGTTACAATGTGTGATTTTATTTTATAAATTGTTGTTAGGTACAAAAAAAGCCACTAAGATGCTGTGGCATTTCAGGAAGACTAAATCCTAGTGTTTACATTAGTATTATTATAATGCAGTTAGAATGATAACAAATTCTCACTACAGGCAGCACACTCCACCAATATTCAAAACACTCAACCTACTCACCATACAAAACATCCATACTTATTATTGCACTTATTACATACATAGAACACTTAACTCTGATATAAACCCTCCCCTCAAACATCTCCTTACCAACCTCAACAGATTATTATTATAATCAAAAAGAAGCGCTAAGCCACAAGGACTATACAGCGCTGCTAACCTCAACAGAACACTTGACCATAACACAAGGCACAGATCACTCTTTGATGTTCCTCATGTCCATCTCACACTATGCAAAAACTCAATGCACATAAAAGGCCCTAAAATCTGGAATTCATTACCTGTAAATATAAAAGAAACACTACCTGTTTATAAATTCAAGTCTCTTCTCAAAGATCACTTACTCACTCAAAACCAAATAAATACTGAATAACTGAACCTTATAAATTGTATATCCTAAATGTTACTCACAATTATATCACACAAATGTTAAACCTAGGACCCAATCTAACTTTGTTATTTTTTAAATACACTACCTAACAGAATACTCCATTCTACTGAATGTACAGCAATGCATGCAACCATATGACCTGTCTTTGTAATACTCATTTGTGCTTTATTGTTATCTGTTTACAATAATGTTTTATCACTGATTACATCATTGCTTAGTTAATCTTAAGTTAATTTTAAGCCAGCCCGTAATGCTATACATATAAGTGGCTTTGGCATGCTGCTCTTACCTGTATTTTTTTGTACCTCTGTATGTATGCTAAAATTACTATATAAAATAAAAAATAATCAAGGGGAAGCGCTAAACCAGTAGGATTATACAGCGCCTGGGGGGGGGATGTGGAAGGCATTCAGGCTTAATTCGGGGAACTGGAGCACAGATCCAATTCCCTAAATCAAGAGCCCCTCACCAACATCAAGGAACCTTCCCTGAGGGGCTAGTGTTTACAGACTACTTTAAACTAGATAAAGGGGCCCCCATAATAATAAAACCCCCTAAATATTTACAAACCCCAGTAAAAATAAAAAAGGACCCCAGGGAAATGGGTCAAACCCCCATTAAATTAAAAACAAGGACCCCTAAAATGGTCGACCCATGGAAAAATACAAGCCCCATAAAAAGTAAAAAGGACCCCGTAAATAATAAAAAGGACCCCCAGTGAAAATAAGTCAAGGACCCCATAAAATAATACAAACCCGGGAAATAAGTACAAAAACCCCAAAAAAGTACAAGGACCCATGAAATAAAACAAACCCTTTTAAATAAGTAAAAGGACCCCAGGGGAAATAAGTAAACAAGGCCCCATGGAAAAAGTACAGGGACCCCAGGGGAAATGAAAAAGGGGCCCCCAGGGGAAATAAGTGGGGACCCCATAAAATAATACAAAATTAAAAAAAAAATACAAGGACCCCCAGTGGAAAATTTAAAAGGCCCCCAGTGGAAATAAAAACAAGGACCCCTAAATAAGAAAACAAAGGACCCCAGGGTAGTAAAAGGACCCCTAAATAAGTAAAGGAAGTGGAAATAATTACAAGGAATAAATAAGTACGGGACCCCAGGGGAAAATAAGTAAAAGGGCCCCCGTGGAAATAAGTAAAAGGACCCGTAAAAATAAGTAAAAGGACCCCAGTGGAAATAAGTACAAGGCCCCCCAGGGGAAATAAGTCCAAGGACCCCAGTGGAAAAAAGTAAAAGGGACCCCGGGGGAAATAAGTACAAGGACCCCAGGGGGAAATAAGTAAAAGGACCCCAGTGGAAAAAGTAAAAGGGACCCCAGTGGAAATAAGTAAAAGGGCCCCCATGGAAAATAAGTACAAGGACCCCGTGGAAATAAGTAAAAGGACCCCAGTGGAAAAAAGTACAAGGACCCAGGGGAAAAAAGTACAAGGACCCCAGTGGAAATGTACAAGGACCCCAGGGGGAAAAAAGTACAAGGACCCTGGAAATAATACAAGGACCCCAGGAAATAAGTAAAAGGACCCCAGTGGAAATAATACAAGGCCCCAGGGAAATAAGTCAAGGGGCCCCCTGGAAAAAAGTAAAAAGGCCCCCAGTGGAAATAAGTAAAAAAGGCCCCCAGTGGAAATAAGTACAAGGACCCAGTGGAAATAAGTACAAGGACCCCAGTGGAAATAAGTACAAGGACCCCAGTGGAAATAAGTACAAGGCCCCCCAGTGGAAATAAGTAAAAGGGCCCCCAGTGGGAAATAAGTACAAGGCCCCCCATGGAAATAAGTACAAGGCCCCAGTGAAAAAAGTACAAGGACCCCAGGGGGAAAATAATACAAGGCCCCCAGTGGAAAATAAGTACAAGGCCCCCCAGTGGAAAAAATACAAGACCCCAGGGGGAAAATAAGGAAAGGACCCGTGGAAATAAGTACAAGGCCCCATGGAAATAGTACAAGGCCCCAGGGGGAAATAATAAAAGGACCCCAGTGGAAAATTTCAAGGCCCCCCGGGAAATAATACAAGGACCCCGGGGAAATAAGACAAGGACCCCAGTGGAAATAATACAAGGCCCCCCTTGGGAAATAATACAAGGACCCCAGTGGAAAAAAAGTAAAAGGGGACCCCAGGGGAAATAAGTACAAGGACCCCAGTGGAAAATACAAGGACCCCGGGGAAAAATAAGACAAGGCCCCCGGGGAAATAAGACAAGGCCCCCAGGGGAAAATAAGTAAAAAGGACCCAGTGGAAAAAAAGTAAAAGGCCCCCAGTGGAAATAATACAGGACCCCAGGGAAAAAAGGGACAAGGACCCCAGTGGAAATAAGTACAAGGGACCCCCAGTGGAAAAAAGTACAAGGCCCCCAATGGAAATAATTAAAAGGGCCCCCCAGGGGAAAAAAGTAAAAAGGCCCCCCAGTGGAAAAAAGTAAAAGGACCCCAGGGAATAATAAAAGGGACCCAGGGGAAATAAGTACAAGGCCCAGTAATAAGTACAAGGCCCCCAGTGGAAATAAAACAAGGACCCCAGTGAAATAATTACAAGGACCCCAAGTGGAAAATAAGTAAAAGGGACCCCCGTGGAAATAATACAAGGACCCCAGTGGAAAATAAGTACAAGGCCCCCAGTGGAAATAAGAAAAGGCCCCCAGTGGAAATAAGTAAAAGGGCCCCCAGGGGAAAATAAGTAAAAGGACCCCTGGAAATAAGTAAAAGGGACCCCAGGGGAAATAAGAAAAAAAGGAAACCCCAGGGAAATAAGTACAAGGACCCCAGGGGGAAAAAAGACAAGGCCCCAAAAGGGGAAATAGTACAAGGCCCCATGGAAATAATAAAAGGCCCCCCGGAAATAAGTAAAAGGCCCCCAGGGGAAAATAGTACAAGGACCCCAGTGGAAATAAGTAAAAGGACCCCAGTGGAAATAAGTACAAGGACCCCAGTGGAAATAAGTACAAGGACCCCAGTGGAAATAAGTACAAGGACCCCAGTGGAAATAAGTACAAGGACCCCAGTGGAAATAAGTACAAGGCCCCATGGAAATAAGTAAAAGGCCCCCAGTGGAAATAAGTCCCAAAGGCCCCAGTGGAAATAAGTAAAAGGGCCCCCAGTGGAAATATTACAAGGCCCCCAAATGGAAATAAGTACAAGGAAACCCCGTGAAAAAATACACAAGGACCCCAGTGGAATAAGTACAAGGACCCCAGTGGAAATAATACAGGAACCCCTGGAAATAATTACAAGGACCCCTTGGAAAAAAATACAAGGACCCCAGTGGAAATAAGTACAAGGACCCCAGTGGAAATAAGTACAAGGACCCAGTGGAAATAAGTACAAGGACCCCAGTGGAAAAAGTACAAGGACCCAGTGGAAAATAAGACAAGGACCCCATGGAAATAATCAGGACCCCAGTGGAAAAAAAGTACAAGGACCCCAGTGGAAATAATTAAAAGGACCCCAGGAAAAAAGACAAGGACCCCATGGAAATAAGAAACAAGGACCCTGAAATAAGTACAAGGACCTATGAAATAGTACAGACCCCAGTGAAATAAAACAAGGACCCAGGGGAAATAAGAAAAAAAGGACCCCAGGGGAAATAATACAAGGCCCCATGGAAATAAAAACAAGGACCCCAGTGGAAATAGTACAAGGACCCCTGGAATAAGTACAAGGACCCCAGTGTGAAATAAGTACAAGGACCCCAGTGAAAAAAATTAAGGCCCCAGTGGATAAGTACAAGGACCCCAGTGGAAATAAGTAAAAGGACCCAGTGGAAATAAGTACAAGGACCCAGTGGAAATAAGTAAAGGACCGGAAGGGGAAAAAAAGTACAAGGACCCCAGTGGAAATAGTAAAGGACCCCAGGGGAAAATAATGTACAAGGACCCCAGTGAAATAATCAAGGCCCCCAAAGGGAAAATAATACAAGGACCCCAGTGGAAATAAGTAAAAGGGACCCAGTGGAAATAAGTCAAGGACCCATGGAAATAGTACAAGGACCCCAGGGGAAAAAATAAGTACAAGGACCCAGTGAAATAAGTACAAGGACCCCCAGTGGAAATAAGTACAAGGACCCAGTAAAATAAGTACAAGACCCCAGTGGAAATAATTACAAGGACCCCAGTGGAAATAAGTACAAGGACCCCAGTGGAAATAAGTACAAGGACCCAGTGGAAATAAGTACAAGGACCCCAGTGGAAATAAGTACAAGGACCCCAGTGGAAATAAGTACAAGGACCCCAGTGGAAATAAGTACAAGGACCCCAGTGGAAATAAGTACAAGGACCCCAGTGGAAATAAGTACAAGGACCCAGTGGAAATAAGTACAAGGACCCCAGTGGAAATAAG